AGATTTCGCGTGAGCACTCTTGGAGAGTTTCCCCATCTTCCCCGACCAGATCCCGGCGTCCTAGGCCCGCCGGTGGCGAGAACTCCGGCAAAACCGAGCCCCATGTCCATTTTAGGCTGATTTTTGCTCGATCCAAGGAGAACCAGGGTTTGACGTCAACTAGAGAAATACTCCTGCAGTTTCAACGAATCCAACGAGACCAAGAACACGAAAATCTGACGGTTAGATCTCTCAAAAACCCTTATAATATGTCACATAGCTTCGGGTTAAATAGCTTTTCTAAAAGCTGATTATTTTCCAAACGGATTTTCCCCCATGATTTCTGTTCATGTATAGGACTTGTATTTAAAATTTCGCAAAGTTTTGTTGAGTATCGAGAGAGAACGAAGTGAAATAGTGTTCTAGGGCTTCAGTTTAATCTATTTGAACTAGGCGAGATCCTGGCCGTTGATCTGTGGATCGACGGCTCTGATCCTGTCATTCTGCGGCATGATCAAACCACAGATTCGATCCCGTATTCAATTCTTTGGTCCAACGCGATCTGAGCCGTCGGATTTGAATGGCGCGGATCGGACGGTCACGGGACGTCGCCCACGTGGATAAGTGGATGACGCCGTGATTGCCGCATGATTGCGGCAATCATTGTATGGCGGCGTAATCATTGTGCCACCGGCAATGATTAGCCGCGGTTTAACCCACCAATCAGATGCTGCCAAGTATCAAACGCTGGATAATTCAGATTTAAAATAGATTTTAAATGTTTTTAAACCTTATTTTCTTCAAAAAATCGCCAAAAATTCATTTTTGAGCCGAAAAATGGATGCAATACCTCGAATTGTTCGTATTCTTGTCCTCTTTAATTTAAAATTATTTTTAATCCTAAGTTCTTAAAACTGATCAACAAACTGAAATAATTAAAATGGATCATAATCCACTAATATTTGAATTTCAACTAAAACATACTTTTTAGACTCCAAACAAACCTGAACTCTAGAAAACTTTAACTAACTACCCTGCTTAGGACCTATCTAAACCACACCAGCCTAACACACACATAGAACTGTTTGCTTGGGCACCACTTCTAGATCTAGGTTAGGCTGCTTGGTTCTATTTTTCTGCTGTGTGCCGGAGCTTTTTGTGGATTTCATTGCATGCTGTTTGAAAATGATTGGTGTGTTTGCTTACTTTTTCTATACTCTGTAGATGATGTGATGAGCGCTAGATTTTCCCCTAGGTTAAGAACGCCATATATATATATATATATATACTGTTCTTCGGTGCAGGTGACCATACTCAAGCTAATAAATGAGGGGCACCGTTATGATTTCTAATACTATCTTATGCAGGTGCGTGCTCAGACCCCCTGATATAATGAGGGCTAAAATCATTAAATAATTATAACTGCTACAGGTGGAGCTGCTTATCCCTTATGATTAAGAGCATGGCTTAGCACAGGGTCAATGGTTTGAGCTATTTTCATTTCTATATATATCTGCTTGGGATTTTTATTAGGATAACCATGTAGGTCCTTTAAAATTTTTTTTCTGCTTTATATTTGATGTAAAATTTGTAATAATTTATTAAGAGTTGTGAAAATGCAACTTTGAGTGTGGATATTCTTATCTCACTTGAATCCCAAAAGAAGAAGGCATCCTCATAGGGGAGAGTCTTTTTTCATTTGGGAGATCGAGTGGGATGGCTTTAGATATATGGGAGTTAGATTAGTGAATGGCTGAGTCCCAACCATTCACTAGTCTCTTTATTAGTCGTACTTACTTTTTATTTTTAATCTGCATGTGTAGGTTGCACCACGAGCACTTAATTTAGGCTCTTCTAGATCTAAGGACAGGTGTGTTTACTGCTTTTATATGTTTTCCCATGCATTATTACCTCGAGGGTTAGTGTAAACTTCAATTTAAACCCATATAACGTAGTGAAACCTTAAAGACAAAAATTAAGGACCCGTCTAGCGAACTTAGAAATTTTTTAGGGCTTAGGGTATATCACTGATTGACATGAAAACCTCAACACTTAAACTTAGTGACATCATAAACCTCCTAGAATTTTCTAGGAATTTTTAGGGCTTGTTAGACCCCTTAGTTAACCAACCCTAATTAAGCTGCTAAATAAGGTCTCGAGACCTTCCGAAAATTACAATAAATACATTTTAGGTCTGAACTTAAAAAACTCATAACTAATTGTAGAAAATTTCAAATTAAGAAAACTCACTTGCATTAGACTCCAATTAGGGTCTAATATTTATTAAAAATATTAGGTTTTCAGAAAATGGCCTAGATTAGAAAATCAACTTTTTGGTCAACCGTAATTCATTTAGGGCCCGAAACTTAGAAATTTCATAACTTTGCCTAGAAAACTCCAATTTCAGTGTACTACATGTCAACTACTCCTCTTAAGGTCTAATATTTTTCCTAGGGTGTTAGGAGACCCAAACCTAGCCCATTTCCCATAGTGACTTTTTGGACCCTTAGTCTAGTTCCTAGGAGGACCCGGGACTTTCTAAAATTGGCTAATATCTCTTGGACTTTAAATATCAGTATCCTCAGGTCTTAAAACTGATCAACAAACTGAAATAATTAAAATGGATCATCGCATGCATATTACTGCATCCTTCTTTCCTTGTTATAAGACATCTCCCTGCCTGCGGGTAGAGTCCGAATAATCTGGCCTATGAGAATGAAGTGCCGGACCTAGGGAGACTCAGTCTTTTCAAAAAATTCTTTTTTATAAGTCTGTTTTTAAGATTTTATAACATTCATGAGCTGACATTTCAACTAGCATGCATTGCATTAGTAACCAACTAAATAAAATTTAATTGCATTAGCTAGGAACATCTGACCCACATAAGTCCAAGACCATTTAGCAAATTCTCTAGATGTCGGTCCTATTTCCAATAACTGTACCACCCACCCATCTCTCATAATTGACTTGATAGCATTGTTTTAAATCGATTAGGTGGTTAGCTGGCTTCCCCAATCTAGGCTAGGATAAGCCTAGGTTTTGCACTGCATTAGCTAGGGCACGGGTCTTAGTGTTTCGTAGAACACTAAGCCCAACTTAGATTTAGGATTCGAGGCTACTACATTCGGTCTCCTAGTATGCCTTAAATAGTAGGTAGGTCCCTTCTGTTCAGGAATCCTAAATCCTACTTATCTGCGTCACAGGATGACGCCACCTCCATCTCTTCTCTCACGCATGTGATTGAGTGCTTGATTTTATTTTCCCAGTTTCCCTCTAGTGCTCTAGAGCCTCCGAATGCTGATATGAGCCATGCATGTTGATTGAACCCTTCGGACCTTTCTTCCCTTTGAGTAGGATTTCCTAGTCTATACCCTCATGTTGATCCCACTTTTGGGAAGGATAATATACGATCCTTAATCGAGAGTTTTCTCGGGCTCCGGTCTGGGATGTAATTAACCACAGGGGCTTGCGCCTGTGGGAAACTCGGTCCCACATCAACTAAACCCCATTCGAACTGTTGTATTAGGTGGGGGAAACCCGTGACTAGGTTGTGTATATTACTACACATCGGGTGTGTTGGCGACAGCCTCTATCCTCAATGGTTAGTCGTATGCACGATCCAATCTGTCACTTCCAATTAACTCGTTCGCGCGGTGCTCTTTCGGAGGTCCATAGTGTGCCTTCTGCACTTTTATTGTTCTCTCAATTGCTAAACATTGTCCATCAACTAATGCCAACACATATAATCACCATTATCTATAATCATCCAACTAGAAATGTTTGCAAACAACCCTCCTTTACAAAGAAATAGATCAAGTTAGACTGCTCGACATCACCCAACCTCAAACATTCCTAGTCAACTTTTTCCAAATGCATACTAAAGATCAATCTACATTAGTAATCATCTATTGCCCATCTTTCTACTTTTCTAATCTCTTCTTCTAATAAGAATAATGATTGAATATCACCCAATATCAGATATTCTCAATCAGTCGTCACACTCTATCGGACATTCTCAATTATTCAACATTTGATATTCCCACCATCTAAACACCTAACATTTCAAGTCATATGACATTTGATGTTCTTAGTCAACATTCATTTAATGGCTAACAATGATTGGCTTTTTGTCAAACATTGATGTCTAATGTCCTCGTTCCAAGAATGACTAAGCAGACTACTAATTGTCAGCAAACATTGGACATACCTAATATACCATTATTCAAATTCTAGCAACGTTCAATATTTGTCAATTGCAATGATTCATGCTCATCTTCCTTACTCTAGGTCTCCCCTCCTATAGGAATAGTAATCAATCATAAGCTTTGTGTTGATTGAGGATAAGGGAGAGCTCGTTGGAGTTAGTAGTAGAGAGAAGTATGATATAAATACTCTCTCACAAAAAAAATGGATGCAAGCTAAAGACTAGGATAATAGTAGTGAAGGAAGGATAAGAGAAGAGCCCAAAGGAGGGAGAAGGTGTCACACAGAGGAGAGGAAGTGAAAGCTTGATGAAATCTTGATAGAGCAAAGTTATAGATGACATAATATCTTGTATTTTGGGATATACTAAAACTATTGAAGTTGCACTCAATCTTGAATTATGAAAAAGATATACACTAGAGTACTTATATAATATATTTATATAAGAATTAAATTTTGATATTTACGCATTTTTCATTTAAAAACACTTAAAAACTAGCCAAAATAGTTTTAAATCATGCTCTAATTTTACAACAAATTGATATTTCATGGAGCATATTGTCATAAGATTAAAAAGAAATAGGAAGTGTAAAATTTTTAAATGTTGTTTAAAAATAAACTTTTATATTTAACATAATCAATAAGAAAATAACCAAATAATTCTTTTTTTTTTTCAAAAAGAAGAAATTATTAAGATATTCTAATATTATTTATACTCCCATAAAGTATTTTGTTAAATTTCATTAAAATTAGTGTTGTAGGAAAAAAAAGTATATATATATATATAACGTAAAATTTTTAATTTTCAGTAAATTTAATGTTTTTAAATTAATTTTACCCGGGTACCGCCGTTCCCGCGCTCCTCCATCGCCGACCATGTGTAATTCCATCGCCGCCGACTTGAGAAGATGGACTTTCACCGCCGCCTCCTCTCCTGCACCTCACTCCGCTCCTCCCGCACCCTCCATGCCCTTCTACTTATCTCCGGCCAGTCAGCCGATATTCTTCTTGCCACCGACCTCCTCAACCTCTACTCCCGCCTGGGCGATCTCCCCGCAGCCGCTCTCTCCTTTAACCAAATACCCAAACAGAACATCTTCTCCTATAACTCCATGATCTCTTCCTTCGTTCGCCATGGCTTCTTTACCGACGCCTTCCTCTGTTTCCACAGCCTACTTGCGGTCCCCCATCTTCGACCTGATTCCTTCACCTTCCCCGTCGCCCTCAAATGCTGCACGGCGTTGGAAGATATCAAAAAGATGCATTCTTTGGTAAAAAGGTCCGGTTTTGGGACGGATTTGTTCGTGTCGTCTTCATTGATCAGCGGATATTCAAAGTTTGGGTCCGTGGAATATGCAGAGAAGGTGTTTGACGAAATGCCTCTTAGAGATTCAGGTTGCTGGAATGCTATGGTATCTGGGCTTTGCCAGAGTGGAAGGGAGGATTATGCGGTTCAGGTTTTTAACCAGATGGTCAAAGTGGAGGCTTGTGTGGATAAAGTTACTATTTCAAGCATTCTTCCTGTATATGCTTCGCTTAATGACTTATTGATGGGTATGACTGTGCATGTTTATAGCATAAAACATGGTTTGGATTCTGATATTTTTGTATCAAATGCTTTGATTGATATGTATAGCAAACTATGTTGTTTGGAGGATGCAAGACATATATTTGATTCGATGGAGTGCAGAGATTTGGTTACTTGGAACACTATGATTACCGCTTACGAACAATTTGGCGATTCGACTGTGGTGCTTGAATTTTTCGGTTTGATGAAGAGGAATGGACTGAAGCCTGATATTTTAACATTGGTTAGCCTGTCTTCTGCAGTTTCTCAGATTCAACATGAAGGTAATTGTCGTGCAGTTCATGGTTTTTTTGTGAGAAGAGGATGGGATGAGGACGACATATTTGCCGGCAATGCGATTATTGATATGTATGGGAAGATCAACAAAGTTAAATATTCTCAGGATGTGTTTGATAGAATGCATGTAAGAGATGTGATCTCATGGAATACTTTGATCACAAGTTATTCACAGAATGGACTTGCTAATGAGGCTATTGAGATATATGAAAACATGGGAAGGTATGAGGGGTTGAAACCAGTTCAAGGAACATTTGCTAGTATTCTTCCCGCATGCTCGCACATTGGAGCTTTAAGAAAAGGAACGCAAATTCATGGACAGACCATCAAAGCGGGTTTGCATTTCGACGTGTTCGTCGGCACATGTCTCATAGACATGTATGCAAAATGCGGTAAGTTAGTTGATGCGATGGCTTTGTTTGTTGGGATGCCTATAAGCAGCTCTGGTCCTTGGAATGCCATCATAGCTGGACATGGGAGTCATGGGCAAGGCAAGAAGGCATTGGAACTATTTTCGGAAATGCAGAGGGAAGGAGTAAATCCAGATCATGTCACATTTGTTTCATTATTATCAGCTTTTAGCCATGCTGGGCTAGTTCAGCTTGGCAAAGAATACTTTCAGCTTATGAAGTCAAGGTATGGTATTGAACCAATGGTGAAGCATTATGCATGTATTGTAGACTTGTTGGGTCGAGCTGGGCATTTGAATGAAGCCTACAAACTTATACAGAATATGCCATTGAAGCCAGATGCTGGTGTTTGGGGAGCTTTTCTAGCTGCTTGTAGGATCCATGGAAATGTTGAGCTAGGAAGATTAGCTTCAACATGGCTGTTTGAAATTGATCCTGAGAATGTTGGCTACTATGTCTTGTTATCGAATTTGTATGCGAGAGGTGGAGAATGGAAAGGTGTTAATGAAGTTAGATCTCTGGCAAAACAAAGGAGTTTGTTAAAGACACCTGGATGGAGCTCTATTGAGGTAAATAATAAGGTAAACGTATTTTTTACAGGAAATCAGTCCCATCCTCAGTATGAAGAGATGTACAAAGAGCTAGTGATCTTGTTGGCAAAAATGAAGAACATTGGTTATATTCCTGACTACAGCTTTGTGCTACAGGATGTGGAGGATGATGAAAAGGAACATATTTTAGCAAGTCATAGTGAGAGGTTGGCTATAGCATTTGGTATTATAAGCACAAAGCCTAAAAGTGCTCTTTATATTTTTAAAAATCTAAGAGTTTGTGGAGACTGCCATAATGCTACTAAGTATATATCAAGGGTTACAGAAAGAGAGATCGTTGTGAGAGACTCCAATCGTTTTCATCATTTTAAAGAAGGAAATTGCTCTTGTGGAGATTACTGGTGATCTTAAATTATTCAACTCCCTATAAGAGCTAAAGAAGAGAGAGACAATTACTTGAAGTTTGGAAGTAACACCAATAGACCAAGAGCCTGCAAGAATTGGTGTACATAGATGATGATGAGCCAGGTGAGGTAGGATTTGGATGAGGTACAGGTGGTGGGCATGCCATTGTTTATGCTGCAACCACTCGATGTTCCTCGCCTGTATTCAACATAGTTTGTTGGCCATAGTTGTCCAGCACATATTTTTTTTCAAGCAAACAGTGATCAACAGCCTCTCACCATCTCTTATTGGAAAAATTATTCTGTGCGGAAGTCGAATCCCGTCCGGATAACTAAGCATGCAGCTCGGTACCTCAATACCGCGGCTCGATATCACTGTGTAGCTCATTATGGTTGGTATCCGGATGTAGAGCTGCGTTCGATATCCGCACTGAATAATCTCTCCTCTTATTGAGTTAATGACAGCAATAACTTGTATTGGTAAAATTTTTCCTTATAGCCCTTGCTTCGACAGTATTGGCTCTAAAATGCTATGCTACCTGGTACAATCTTTCTTAAATTTCAGGTTTTGACATTATTGTTATAAATTCATTTGTGGTAGATATTGTCTACTGCTTTGCTTACACTTCCAACAAGGTGCTCAAACCCTCTTAGTCTTCTCATCAACTATGCCCTTGTTGAGGGGACAATAGGTGATGATATGAAGATGTTCTCATATAAGATAATTCATGAGAAGATATTAGAAAAGAGATCCAGCGAGATAGGATCAACAAATCTTATCTCAATTGATATAAAATACTATGAGGAATTATACTATCAAAGTGAAAATCAAGTAAGAAAATTTGGAAACGATCAATCTCCCAAAGGGAGTGGATTTTCTAATATAATTATACCCGATGACACATACAAGAGATGCTCTCAATAAAAGAAATATGCTTGCATTTTGATTTAGGGTTTAGGTTAACATCAAAAGTAGGCAATATATATAAGACTATTATCTATATAAGTGTGTTTAATGTTGTTTAAGTTAATATGTGTATAATGTTTTAGACTAATAAAATCAAATCAAATGAAACTTTGATTTTAAATATTTTGAATTTTCTCAAAATAGCATTATGAAGTTATATTAAATTCTATGGTGTTTGAGATACGCAGTTTCTTGGATATGGCTGGATATTATAAGAAGTTTGTGAAGGGGTTTTTTCATATTTCAGCACCTCTGACGAGACTGACTCAAAAGTCAATAGCTTTTGTCTGGACAATTGAATGTGAGGCTAGTTTTCAGAGATTGAAGGATTATTTGACTTATGCTCCAGTTTTGGCTCTTCCCTCTGGTATAGAGGATTTCATGTATCCAGTGATGCTTCGCTGAGAGGTTTGGGGTGTGTTTTGATGCAGCATGGTCGGGTGATAGCTTATGCTTCAAGACAATTGAAGCCACATGAAAGGAATTATCTGACACATGATCTAGAGTTGGCTGTTGTTGTATTTGCTTTGAAGATTTAGCGTCATTACTTGTATGGTGTCAGGTGTGAGATTTTTACGGATCATCAGAGTTTGAAGTACATATTCACTCAAAAAGATTTGAATTTGAGGCAAATGAGGCGGCTTGAGTTGATCAAGGACTATGATCTGTCTATTCAGTATCAGTCTAATAAGGTTAATGTGATGGCAGACGCTTTGAGCAGGAAGTCTTCTGGATTATCATATATGCAACTCACTTTGGATGAGTATTTGATACGAGATATGGAGAAATTATAGTTGGAGGTGATTTCTTCTACTGATTGGGATTCTGGTATAGTGACTCAGATGATCATTCTACCCTCTTTAGAAGAAAGGATTCATGAAGCTCAAAAATTAGATGCAGAATATTCGAGGTTGATTGATCAGATTAGATCTAGTAAAAAATATGAACTACAAGCTTATGATTATGGTGTAATTTTCTGTAAGGATAGATAATGGGTTCCTATTTTTGGAGATCTGAGGTAGGAGATTTTACATAAGGCTCATTATTCATGCTATATTATTCATCAAGGAAGTAGCAAGATGTACGGAAATCTGAAGAGTATGTTTTGGTGGCCTAGATTGAAGAAAGACATAGCGGAGTTTGTTTCAAAATGTGAGACCTGTCAGGTAGTGAAGGCGGAGCATCAGCGACCGAGAGGTCTTCTGTAGTCGTTACCTATTCCTGAGTGGAAATGGAAAGAGGTGACAATGGATTTTGCTATGGGTTTCCCCAGATTGAGGCAGGGACATGATGCTATTTTGGTTGTTATTGATCGACTGACAAAATCTGCCAATTTCCTTTCGATTAGACAGATAGATCTAGTGGACAAGTTAGCACATATCCATGTTAAAGATATTATCAGGTTGCATGGTGTACCGAAAGTGATTGTATCTTATTGGGATGGAAGGTTTACCTCTAGATTATTGAGAGGTATTCAACATGGAATGAGTATGAAGTTGCATTTCAGTACGGCTTTTCATCCGCAAAAAGACGGATAGTCCGAAATGACTATTCAGGTATTGGAGAATCTTATGAGATTATGTGTTTTGGATTTTGGAGGTAGTTGGGAGGATCATATCCCGTTGATAGAGTTTGCATATAATAATAGTTATCAGTTCAGCATAGGAATGGCTTCTTATGAAGCTCTCTATGGCAAAAAATATAGGACTCCTTTGACTTTGACAAAGGTGTGAGATAGATAGGTGATAGTTTCAGCCTTTGTAGATGATTATACTGCAAAGATCAATTTGATTAGAGAGATGTTGAAATTCGCACAAGATAAATAGAAGAAGTATTACAGTTAGAAGCGCAGATTGGTTGAGTTTCAGATTAGTGACCTAATATATGTCAAAGTCAATCCTATGAAAGGTGTTAGCATATTTGAGAGAATTAGCAAGCTCAGTCTAAGGTATATTGGACCTTTTGAGATCAGTGAGAGGATTGATAGTTCTGTTTACAAGTTATTGTTACCTGATCATATGTCCGATATACACAATGTGTTTCATGTATCATCTTTAAGAAAGTGAGTATCTGATTCTGGGAAGAGATTATATGTTGATGATGTTGAGGTTCATTCAAATCTGCAGTATAGAGAAGAACCAGAAAGAATTTTGGCATATGATGTGAGAAATTTGAGAAGCAAAAATGTTCTTATGGTTAAGGTGCAGTGGAAGTATAGGAAAGCTAGAGAGACTACTTGGGAGAAGGAATCTGATATGAGACAGTTGTATCCAGAAGTATTCTGACTCATTATGCTTTGAGAATGTCGAGGACAAAATTTTTCTTAAGGTGGGTAGATTGTGAAACCCTTTGAATTTTCATGATTTTTTTGGTTAACTTAGAGAAGTTCAAATCACAAATCGTCTTTCCAGAACATTTATAATATCGTATTTTAGCTTCCTTAATTTTTTTGTAATTTTTGGGTACTGTCGAAATTTCTTAAGAAATCGGTACCTGTGGGTACAAGTGGGGGTTTTGAGACCGTTAGGTGTCCGTTTTACAAACCAATTTCACCATAATTTTTTAAATAAAATTTGTTAAGTTATCAATATTTTTTCCAGTGCTTAAAAAACCGGACCGGACCGGCCGGTTCGACCGGTTCAACCATGAACCGGTCACAAGGCCAGTCCGGTTCAGCCCTAAAACCGCTTCTACAAAGAACCATACTGAACCGGTCAGAACCGGTGGTTCAACCGGCGAACCGGTGAATCGGTCCGGTTATTTTTGAACCGGCCGGTTCAAATCTCACATCTCACAAATTTTAAGTATTTTTTTAAATAAATAAATTAATATATATTAAAAACATTTAATTAAAGTTACATATATTTTATATAATAAGTACTTTTGTCCTCAAAGGATCATGAAACATCTTCACATAACCTCCCCATGTGCTCCCTTGGTGCAAGGAATCTAAATATGCTATATAAACAATAGCAAGAAAGTGTTTCTAAGGGATGTGGGACTAAAGAAAAGGTGTATGGGGATCAAGGGTAAATGGGGAGTGATTTAAATGGACGGTTGATGTTGAATCTATTTAATCGTAGACCATTTGTTAAACATTTAAAGGTATCAATGATATAGGAATTCAGTGATCTTATGCTCGTTGGATTCTTCTCGTCGAGCCGCTCAATTCGACTATAAGCATGTCACATTTAGAAACAATTTAGTAATCCAAATTATGGTTCAAACCCTCCAATAACACTTCGGGCCCTAGATTTGGACTAAATTAAGTAGAACTTGGGATCATTGGGTTCATATTTCCAAGACATTCATTGATTATAAGTTTGCTAAAATCGAAATTCAAATGGTCCCAATTTTAATTTCAGAAGTTTCTAACTTGATTTTGAGTCAAAATTTGTGCCCTATCAAGATTATTTTTTGACAATGTATCAATCCTTAATTAAGCAAATGATCACTTTTTCTTCTTAAATGCAATTTTTGCATCTTCTCAAAAAAAAAAAAAAAGCAAATGATTAAAGAAATTTAGGTTTTTTTAAAAAAAAAAATTTTGACTATGCCAACTATTTTTTTTAACATGCCAACTATTTTTAATCAAGTTAAAATATATTACCAAACATTTAGGTTATTTCAACGATTTTTTACTATTTCTTACAATTAACACCTAAGGTTTGAGAAATTATTTAAAATGCCACATAAATTAGAAAAATTATCAAATTATTGGGAATGGATAATATTTGACCTGCGGCTTCGAAAAACTCAAATCAAAATATCGGAAAATATAGATTTCAAAAAATATAGATTTCCACTAATTTACTAAATCAAGGTTTGGCTATAGCTCTTTTAAAGTCATAAATCGAATTTTCTAATTTTGTTGATATTTTTTTATAAACTTTCACCACTTAGACGGTAGTTATGAGTAATATAAAATAATTAATACATTAAAAAAAAATATTTCAAATAACCAGCTCGCCCAAACTCAGCAGCCAGGATTCATTCTACCTCTATTAAACTACTACAAAAAATGCATACAAATTCATCTTTAGCTACATATTTCCAGCATCAAAATACTGCAAAAGCATGCAAATATTATAACGTTCTGGTAGTTCAATTGGCACATTATGTTGATTTGATTCTCTATAATGTACTCGCACTATAGTTTTAGGGTTTTTTTTTTCTAAAGCATAATTACAGAGCCATATCCTCGGTGTTGAGCCTATCAAGGCCAACTCAATATCTGGAGCGACTTCTCAACCTACAAATAAAAAAGATTCATTTAATTAACCAAACCAAGTCTGTACCAATAGCATCAATTACGGCATACTATGAAGTCACCTCGGCGAATGCGACGGCGAACTTGATCGAGAGCTTGACCGAGAGTAGTATCTCCTTGGACTCCTACTTCGGCTCCGTCCGCGGCTTCTGCTGCGTCTATGCTTTCTGTAACAACATAGTAGAGATTTTAATAAACAATGAGCTACAGGTCGTGAAATTAAGGCTTCGTTTAGGACGGGTTTTTTATTGCTCCTTAAAACAGCTTTTTATTTTTAAAATTAAATTTTTTATACTTGAAAGCTGCTTTAAAAAACAGTAAGAAAGCCGTCCCAAATGAAGCCTACAAGTTCATTTGGAACGGCTGCATTTTTATTTTTTAAAAAATCAGCCAACTTTCTTACAACTATTACACTCTAGTAGATCTAACTATAAAAAGCAACTTCTGCACAAAAATTTCTTATAAGGAACAAAAAAACAATAGCATAGCAAAAGTATGTCAACATTTTGAAAAACAAGGGAATGAAAGAACTGTCCAAAGTATAGCAGCAAATAAACTACATGAAATCAAATGATATACATAATGATGGATTAGACGACATTGATACCTTGCTGGAGAATGGCTTCGGCTTCGGCTTCGGCTTCGGCTTCGGCTATGACTACGGTGTCTGTAGCGGCTTAATCTACTTGTTTCTGCAAGTTTTTCCAGCCTTTGTCGTTCCTGCTCGCGCTTCTTGGCCATTTCGGCGGCAGAATCCTTCTTAACTATAAGATTTATTTATGATTTACCAGAAGGAAAGATTATTATGGTGTACCAATATGATATATAATTGATGTCATGATTATTAAGTCATCTTACTCTGTTTGTTCAGTTGTTTGTTCATTATTCTTTTAAGACGTTCTTGAGGAGTTTCCTTCTTTTCAATCTGCTCGGCCTTCACGGCTCCCCCTGGAGCAGCCTTGCTAAGTTTAGCAATTCCAGTGGTGCTAGAATCATGAAACATTTACAATTTACATCAATAATCATCACAAAAATCATGATAACATACTACATAAATAAAACAAGGATATTCATGAAACATTAAGCCCGTATAAAACCTAATTGCTTTCACTATTCAATTCTTCTATATTTAAAAAAGAGTGAACGCCTGCATACTATAAATGAGATTGTTAGGAGTCAAGAACCAAGTTCATTAAATAGCACAATATTAGGGGGGGGGGTGAGTGAGTCGAGTTGGCTCGAACTCGACTCATTAATGAGCTCAAAAGTCGAGCTTATCAAGCCACGAGTTCGAGCTTGAGCCCAACCTGGCTTGGCTCCTAAGCTCAATGAATAACTCGATTAATTTAAAATATATTTACAACTCATTTTGTTTACAGCCCTACAAAATACAACCTATCTCATTTCCCAACTAAAAGGACAACTAAACAAAAATTAAAAAATAAAAAAAAATTAAAAGGACAACTAAAAATGAAGAACATTAAATACCTGGCATTTCTAGAAATTTTAGTGTTCTTTTCATTTTCTAGGGATAAAGCTGATGCAGGATCAACATGCAGTGCTTCGAGTATCCGGTTTCCTGATGACCTGCAATAGAAAAAGACAAAAAAATCAATGATGTATACTTTCCAATATAGGCAACTGTTGAACTCTCACATTCCTTCAGTTAAAAGAAAAAAATGTGCTCATCTGCATATGAAGGAAGAAAAGAAATAAGCTTTTAACAGCTTGTAAGTTCGGCAAACCCAACCCCAATATCCTCCCTCGCCACCATGGAACCTACAAAAGAACTTTTCTCCAAAAAACAAGACTAAAATATGCATAATCCTGGGCTATATCTGTCACCAAAGGCCCAATGGTGAAACTGGGGTAGTAATGGACTCCTGCTCCCTAGATTTGAGAAAATCCTAATCCTAAAACTTTTTCATGTCTATTTATATTATAAAAGCTTAGTAAATCAGGCTCCCCTCCCCTCTTTATTTTGGATAAACACTTTCTCCATCCAATCTTAATTGAAATCCTAATTCCGCCACTTTAAAGGCCCATATAATAGTCCCTAAGAAATCAGAACACCACCAGAATAAGTTGTAGCAGAGTAAACATGGCCCAATCTATCTTTGCAAATATTAAAGGTCGAGTGCTCCGACCGGTTCTGAGAATCATCTTGTAATGGAGATGATGGTGGAGAAATTGCTCCAATTTTTCGATCATTCATGTCAATGGAGCCACCAAACTCTGTAATGTACTCAATTTTCGGAGGCTTTGGTTTGCTTCTATGATGACCATTATCAGAATGTACTCTGTCATGTCTCCTTGAGTATGAAGGTGAATGCGACCTAGACTTGGATCTTGATCTGCCAAACAGAATAACACACATGAGATTTCATCTCCAAAGAGATGGCTTGGTATTATCAGCAAAGATCATCAACAATGTAATTGTAGCATATACCTTCTGGAGTGAGGATAAGCATCGTATGTGGGACTTCGCCTAGACTCCCTACAATAGATACTTCAGATTAAGGAAACTTAACATAAAAATAGTATCTTTAATGAACCATAAAATGATATGCTAAAGTATTGTACCTATACGGATCATTATATGGCGCTCTTCCTAGAATTCGTGCAGCTTCTCTCTCCTTTTCCCTTTCCATTTGAGAAGCTTTCCTTCTTTCCTTCCTGCTTAATTTCCTCTGCAAATTTTAAGGTGCTTAAGTACACAATTCACTGTAAATTATCAAATCCATATGGCAGATATTTAAAGCCATGAGAAACTTACAATAGATGGATCCCCTCTTATTACTTCTTTTTGTCTTTTCTCTTCCTCCTTGGCTTTTTTGTCCATATAAACAAGCCAATTATACCTCTTGATACCAAAATCTTTGGCAAGCAGCTCCATTCCTTCATCATTGCTTTCATCACTACTAACATCCTTCTCATCCTCATCATCATCCTCATCATCTTCATCATCTTCATCAGTATCAATAGCATGGGGTTCCTCATTGCCATCTCCTTTATAGGAGAATCCTACCTGAGAATAAGAACCTTTGCTTGCTGTTGGTTGAGATGAGTGTGCCCTGTGGAAATGATATAATTATGAAAAGAAAAAATTAAATTTGCAAATTCATTCATAAAAAAGTATTATCAATCATTGATTAGTACAGATGTAAAATTTAGCCATTTAGAGGTTCCATAAAGTACATAAACTTACAGTATTGGATATAACTCGAAAGATAAATTAATGCTTTGAATATTAACTCATAAGGTAAAATAAACCACTTGAATTTTAAACCTTTTCACAAACAAAACACCGTGCCATAAAAGGGTCTGAAAACACAAAATAGAAACGATGCATCACGTTTAATACAAACCAAAAAAATTTTCAAATTTGAACGAAGTTTTCCATACAGTACAAAGCAAGAAAATGACAAACATATGATCACTATTCTATAGCTACATAACCTTTAGCAATGCATACACTGAATAATGAACACAAGACTCGATAGATGCAGTAAAATGAAACCAAAAAAAAAAAAACCAGATACACATCCAACTTTCACATTTCAAAATTTGTAATTATACATAGAACCACTATATATCAAAAGAGACTAGTGGAATGCTCAGTAGAAGCAATAAACACTTGAGAAATCTCAAGTGAATGACCAAAATGGACCTACCGGTTTATATGATGCAGCAGTAACAGAGCTCGTCCTAACTACTGGAGGACATGATAAACAACAAATTTCACAAAAGACCAGTGAAACAACAATCCCACAAGACTGCGGAAACCAGAATCAACTCAGACAAGTAGCAACTAGCGACAGCTTAACATACCAGCTGACGCAAAGTAAAAAATTCGAAAGATATGTGATCCATAATAAATTTGCTCAAGCTTCATATTAAACAATATAAAGTTATTCCCATTCCTTCCTCTTCTGCTTTTCACCTGTCTAATGGCTGAAAGGTAATGCAATGAATGCATAAAGTTGATTAACAAAACTGCACAAATAATTTTCAATCAATGAAAAATCATACAAATCTAGTTGCCCTTTCCTCATAAATATGGACGGACAAGCCATTTAAAACAACTTCGAAGCCCCACAGAGAAAATGTAGACAACATTAAAAAACTTATTCTGATAAAACCTCATTCTATGAATTATTACGTTATCCCATTACACCTCTAACATGAATTTATATAATCCATGTAAAAAAGTTGCATAAAAAACAGTGAAGTCTAAGCAGACAAGTAGCACTTGGTTTGCATACTAAGTTAACGCAAGGCAACAATTCTAAAAATAAAATTTGGAAAACAATTGGAAGGTGATGAAGATTGCTATTTGACAATAAAATCTCTTACTTTCTTTCCTCTCATTCTTCATTTCATCAATCTAAGTGGGCATGAGGACAGAAATAATGCAATCTTACAGCACCAAACCATTATGTTAGACCAGTCCAGGAGGGATCGGTCCAGTCGGTTTAGGAGGGACTGGCCATGGTTTACTCCATGCAAAAATCCTTCCTGAAACAGCTCACGCACGACATGCGTGCGTTTGGCACGTACAGGAGGAGAAGTTCCGCCTCTATTAGCGTGAGCCGGTCCCGCATGGACCGGCTAGACTGGTCCAATGGACCGGTCTAACAATACTCCCCTCCCAAAGATCCACCTTGTCCTCAAGATGGAAGGATGGGATGGTGTTGGTAGCTTTCTTCAGATGCTCTGTTAGTGGTCATGCTATCGTCCACTGGAACCAAGCTAAAGCTTTCCCTTCCAAACATAAGGTCGCTGTCGTCAGTCTCTCCTACTCTGTCACCCCATTCACCATGAGATACATCTCCACCCGGTACACCCACCTACAAACATCCTCCCTTTCCAATATTGGCATCCCCAGCTTCCTTACCCTAGGATCACTACCACCCAAATATCTTCTTCCTCCTCCAGTGTAGCGGTTGTCGTGATCTCTCCATATTTCCCCATGCATCGAGGGTGGGAATCCCCCCTTTCTTCCCTTCGCCTCACATGACCCATCCCCATGGTTCGGCCTGTCCCCCTCCTTCGGTCGTCCACTCCCCTTGCCCAAAAGACCTCCCATAGTGGTCAACCACCCCGCCACCTTCACCACGAAATGCCCTTCCTGTTGTTCTCCCATCCGCTAACCCTATTCTGCTCCCTATCGAAGCCTTAGGAGGTGGCCCTTGACCCCCTCCTTCTCCGATGAGTGGCTCCACTTGCCCAAAATGCCTCTCATAGTGGTCGGCCTCCCTACCACCTCCACCAAAAGATTTCATCGTTGTTGTCCCCTCATCCAGAAACCCTGATCCAACCCTTATTGGAGCCACAAGAGGTGGCCCTTGATGAAAGAAACTCCACTCGTCAAACTCCTCTTGTCCGATCTCCTTTCCCTTCGATTCGGCCAAGTGAATCCCGGCCAAATCTTGGTTAGGGTTAGCCATCGGTGCCACTAGTGAAGTGTTTATTTGCATCTCCAAGAGCCTTCTTAACATCTCCTCCACCCTTCTAAATTGATTTTCCATACGGTTTTCCATATATGAAAATCTTTCTCCCCAAGTAGAAAACTTCTCCAAGCCGATTTTGAATTGCTCCATCCAACCTTCCAACGCCTTCATCTTCTTTGTTGTCATTAATTGGATCTTTGCTCCAATTGCAAAAACAGCCAAGATATCTTATTTTTCTGCCCAAGAAAGCTCTTTGATACCAATTTGATAGGAAACACCGGTAGATCTCAAGTAATTTCTATCAATCTTTAGAAAACAACAAAAATCCTCCACAAAAATCCACACAACCACAAAAATAGTAAATAATTTGTATTATTTGATGAAAAAGAAGTGGAAAATACCAAGATACAATTGATCCTCTACTCGAGAGGAGGATTGATCTCTCCCAATCTCTAGACGCCGCTAGTGCCCATACGAAAACCTAAATCTAAGAGATCTCAAATTTCAGCCAAATTCAAGATGCCCTAACCCTAGGAAAACATATTATTTAATGCATACAATTCAAAAGGAAATCTCTAAACAGTCTCTACATTCAAATTTCCCTCCTAACTCTCTCAAAAATCCTTCCTAAAACAGCTCACGCATGCCATGCGTGCATTCAGCACGTTCAGGAGGCGAAAAATTTCCGCCTCTGTTAGTGTGAGCCGATCCCGCATGGGCTAGCAATGGACTGGTCTAACAGAGGATTAATTAGGAGATGTTTTCTAATTGAAAAGTGACAAAATTGGGAGCTGATTTGGGAGGGGATTAATTCGGAAACGTTTTCTAATTGAAGAAGGTTGATTTGGGGGCAAATTTGAGAGCTGATTTGGGAGGAAAATAATTAAGGAAATAGGGCAAATATGGGGGTTGATTTGGGTAGGGCTATTTTGATATTTATTGTTTATTGTTTGCTTTAAGTAGCTGATTTACCCTAGGGTTAAGGTTATGTTTCGTACGTATATTTTTGTGAGTTTTTTGTCCACTGTTTTTGTGATTAATTCTAACGGCATATAGGATTTGGGAGAGAAGGTCCTCCTCTCGAAAGAGGATCATTGTATCATGTTTGCTTGTATTTTTTTCTTATCAATAAAATCTGTTGGTTAGCTAAATTTTACTTTTTGTTTGTTGATTTTTTTTTTCTTGAGTCCTATCAAATTGATATCAGTGCAAGTTTTGGGAACCTACGGTCGAGAGAAGAGTTGAAGCGTTGGAAGAAAAGATTGAGAGGGAAGTAGAGCAGCTGTGAACAGATGTAAAATCGCTGAATGAGCGTTCTTCAGTGATGAAAGAAAAGTTTGAGAATTTAGAGGAGATGATGAAGCAGATGTTGAAGTTTCAAACTAAAGCGGCTCCATCAGAAGCAAGGGGTAATTAGAAAAATGACATGTCAAGGAGTGATATGGATAGGGGATATGGAGGAGGTGGAAATTGGAGAAGAATAGGGAGGAATATCCCCCTTGAGCCTTTACTGAGGAGGGGTATAGATAAGGGAAATGGAGGTAGGAGGGAATAGAAAGAGGAGGAAAAGCAAGCGGGATACGACAAGAAGAGATGGGACGGGGAACGAAAGGGAGGACGCGCATGGGTGGATATATAAGATGGAGAGATACTTTGCGGTGAAAGAGTTAATGAAAGGTGAGAGACTTATGACAGCAACTCTATGTCTTAAGGGGAAGGCACTGGCATGGTACCAATAGAGGGAGACGAGGCACCCAATCCGTTCGTGGGAGGAGTTTAAGGACCGCTTGTTGGAGCGATTTTAAGCCAAATAGGATGGGGATTACTATGAACAATTCTTTGCATTGACACAGGAAGGCACTGTGATGGAGTATTAGGAAAAATTTGAGCTTTTGTCAAGACAGGTAGGGAGGCTACCGGAGATAGTAATAGAGCGTAATTTTATGAAAGGCCTCAAACCAGAGTTGAGAGCAGGGGTGCAGGTGGAAAGGCCCTGTGGCTTGGGAGAGGCAATAGAGCTGACTTAGCTGGTTGAGGATAAGAATTCACTACAGAAGAGTAGTAAAGGGGTCAGTTTGGGAGGGTTCCTTCCACACAAGGACCACTTTTCTGGCGCCTAGGGTGCAGACTATACCAGTTCAAAGGAAGGCTCCAAAGGAGGGAGGTTCGGGAATTTGACAAAGAGGAAACTTAAAGAGGCTAACATATACTGAACTACAAGACAAGAGGGCTAAGTGGCTATATTTCATATGCGACGAGAAATTTACACCGGGACAGATGCAAAAATCATACATTGTAGGTTCTCTTCTTATGTGACGATGAGGAGATGGATAAGGCAGAGACAACAAGAGAAGAGGTAGAAGAAGAGGAGCCCTTACACTTGGAGGTGGTCGAAGTTTCATTTAACTATGTTGTGGGATTCACCCCAAATCACATTATGAAGGCCAGCGGACATATAGGAGGAGAGGCAGTGGCAATCCTAGTGGACAATGAGGCTACAAAATTTCATATAAAACCAAGCAGTAAATAAAATAGGGCTGAAACTAGTGAACATGAGATGTTTTGGAGTAATGATGGGCACATGAAAGATGGAGAAGAGTAGAGAGATTTATCAGGGAGAATTTTCTTCCATTAGAGTTGGGAAGTACTGACTTAATTTTGGGAAAGAAATGGCTATAAACCTTGAGAGAGACTAAAGATAAACTGGAGGGCATTAGTTATGGAGATCCAAGTGGAGGGGAGAAATGTGGTAATCAAAGGAGGCCTCGACTTATCTACAAAAATGGTTTCTTCGAAAATCATAGTTCATGCCATATAAGAGGAAGGAGGGGGGTTTTAAAAAAAGCTCTAGAGTTTGGAGAAAGGACAGGCGGAAGAGATAGAGGACATTCCAAACATTGTCCAACCACTTTTTCAGCAATTCAGAGAGGTATTCCAGCTTCCCCAGAGATTGCCACCCCCATGTGCGCACAAGCATACCATTGCTTTGAAGGATGGAGTCTCCCCCATTAGTATTACGCCACAGATACAAAAGGACAAGATTGAGAGACTGATTCGGGAGATGCTCGAAGCATAAATTATCAAGTCCAACATGAGCCCTTTCTCTAATCCGGTATTGTTGGTGAAAAAGGATGGAAGATGTAGGTTGTGTTGAACAAGGAAACTGTACCATACAAGTTTCCCACACCAGTCATTGACGAGCTGTTAGATGAGTTGCATGGATCTATGATATTCTCCAAGATCAACTTAAAATTCGGGTACCACCATATCAGAATGTGATCAGGAGAAACATACAAGATAGCTTTTAGGATGCACGAGAGACACTATAAGTTCTTGGTGATGCCATTTGGTCTCACCAACGCACCAACCACTTTCTAATATCTGATGAATAGGGTATTCTAGCCTTACTTACGAAGGTTTGCGATGGTATTTTTGACAATATGTGGGTATATAGCACGTCTAAGGGGAAGCAATTGAAGCATTTGGGAGTTGTGCAGTCTACCTTAAGAGAGCACTCGTTGTTTGACAATCAGAAGAAGTGTTCTTTTACACAACCCAGAGTGGAGTATTTAGGGCATGGGGTATCTCAAGAGAGAGTGGCAGCTGATCAGGGTAAGATTGAGGCAACGCTCAGATGACCCATACCCAAGTTTTTGAAGGAGCTGAGAGGATTATTGTGGCTCACAAGCTATTATCGAAAAATTGTGAAGGGATATAGTTCTATAATAGGGCTGTTGAAGGAACAGCTCAAGAAGGACAACTTCAATTGGGGAGAGTTAGCCATAAAGGCTTTTGAGGAGTTAAAGAAGGCTATGATCAGTGTGCCAGTATTAGCACTCCTAGATTTCAGCCAGCCTTTTGTTGTCTCTAGTTGAGACAGATGCCATAGGTTTTGGGTTGGGAGCGGTGCTCATGCAGAACCTAAGACCAATGGCCTATTTCAGTCGGGTGTTGACGGCCAAGGCACGACTCAAGTCAGTCTATGAGAGAGTTAATGGCAATTGTGTTGGCCATTCAAAAATTGCTACTTCCATATTTATTAGGAAGACACTTCATCGTCAGAACTGACTAGACGAGTTTGAAGTATTTGTTGGAGCAGATAATGGTTACTGAGGAGTATCAAAGGTGGCTTTTCAATTTATTGGGCTATAACTTCGAGATTCAGTATCGATCTGGGATTAAAAACAAAGCAGCATATGGTTTATCAAGTGCATGGGGTAGCCTCCAGATGATGGCATTATTTGTGCCCTTAGTGGTTGATTGGGAAGCATTGAGGAGAGAATGAACAGGTTGCAGGGTTGAGGAAAATTAGGGAGGAGCTGGTGGAAAATAAGGACAACCATACATGATACTCAATAGTGGGATAGAATTTGCTTCATTATGGGCTATTTTGTGCTTCCAAAAACCTCTTCTTACATTCCCTACATGTTTCAGGAGTTTCATGGGACGATCATTGGAGGACATTCAAGGGTCAAAAAGACACATCGTTGGTTGTCTGCAGATCTATATTAGGAGAATATGTCAAAGGATGTCAAAAAGATGGTCGCTAGCAATGATATATGTCAGAGGCACAAGTATTTAACTGTCTCCATAAGGGCTCCTCCAGCCGTTAGCTCTACCATAAAAGGTATGGGAGGAGGTGATCATGGACTTCATTGAAGGGTTGCAAAAGCCAGAACGATACTCTACGATAGTGGTGGTATTGGATCGGTTGAGTAAGTATGCTCATTTCATTCCCCTTCGCCAACCTTATACAACAGTCTCAATAGCGATAGTCTTCATGGGGAGGTAGTGAATGATACTCTATGAGAGTAGCGATAGAAGGTCTCCTCTCAAAAGAGAATCATTGTATCTTGCTTGTTCGTATTTCTTTTCTTATCAATAAAATCTGTTGGTTTGCTAAATTTTATCGTTTGTTCACTGATTTTTTGATGCTTGAGTCCTATCACATTCCCAAGTATTCCAAGTCTCAGAAGTCAATTAAACTCTAATTTCCCTTTGCTCACAAGGATGGGCAATCCATGCAAATAAGCTGCAAAGCCCACAAGCTGATGTTGATGACAATAAGAAAATTCATTGTGATAAAGCCTCACTGAAAGCGCCTATAGCATCCCATCTATAACATGAATTTAAACAATATCATCAAAGTAGCCTCAAATAGAAACAAATTATCAATGAAATATTTACTATTTAGTTATAACAAGCTTTTATTAGATGTGAAACCAGAGATGCACTCACGTAATTGATATGATCCTTTTCCTTTATTTATTTGCACTCACGTAATTATAACTGAGACAATGGTTGGTTCAGAGATGCAAGATATCAGGTCCTTACAAAAACTAGAACAGACTAGAAAATCATTAAACAATAAAAAGACCTAATATTTAAAGGTAGGAAAAAAGAAATATGCTGACGAGAGACAACAGTGCAGCACAAAATGCTGTCAAATATAAAAAATATTCATTCTAACTTCACTTTGTTCAGCTACTATCACAACAATCTAGCCAGTTAATGGGAGTCCAAGTTAACATCTATGCACGTCAAATATAGTACACATTACTATTTAGTCTTCCCTAGGATGAAAATTTCAAAAACAAAGTTTTAATTCAAGTCATAAAAAAACATTTAATTTAATAACTAAGTTCAAAACACATCATCATTTCATAATAAACACGGTCCACGGTAACTTAAGTTGAAGTGAAATTTTCTATAACTGGCTATCAAACAAAATGGCTATAACTGGCTATCCACCTATAAAGCTCAAAGTTCAACAAGCTTTCTCATTTCCAAACTGACATCAAACAAAATGGCTCCAATTAGACTAATGGAATTTGGTGAATAAAATATCAAAAAGAAAGTGAATATCAAGCAACAATGAATGCAGCAACGTGTACTTGTATTTTTTTTCTAAAATATTTTATTATTTAAGAACATCATAAGTACCTAAGAAAGAAACTAACCAAAACAACAAAAATACAGTACTTAAGATCAAAAGGACAAACCTTTCAAAGATGAAGGAAGGAGTAGATTTTGTCTCTAATTCTTCAGAAACATGGCGAAGGGCCTCTTCATCAGTATCTGTTGAGAGGTATAACGTTGTATGCAATATAAAGACACAACATACGAGATTAAAATTAGAAGACCAATTCTAATTACATATAAGGGACTATGCAGTGTTGAGAGACGCAAATATTTCCATTATAGGTCATGCAAGAAAACAAATCTTTTATGTACTACAATTGAGAAAAAAATATAAAAAAAGTACCGACATCCTCTACGTCGATGCTTAATTAAATCCCAGTAACGCTCAAAATTAACAAACTCTTCTAGTTCTTCTTCTTCTTCAGACTTTTGCTGTGCACGAAAAGGCCGAGTGCTGGAATCCCGTATGAAATCCAGAAGCGCACGGCCATCAAACCTGCCAAGGAAGAAGCAAACTGTAGGCGGCAGGAACATTCCACTTGATGACAAGTATACAAGCCAAAATAACCACCTGTCAATCAAAATATCCTGCTTCCCGTTCCAAGGTATCCTGCAATTTGACAACGTGCAACAAGTAACATATATATAAGTACCAATGCTGAATCAAAATATCATCGCTGTTAGAACATTCCAGATAATGTTCAAACTTCAAATATGATAAATAAGTCTACTAGAAAATTTAATTAATGTAAGAATTGATATCATAAAATATCAAAAGATTACCATTTCTCACCTAATTTTTATGATTTCAATAAAAAGTGTTCCTAACTTTATGATTGTTCTTGATATGTATGTATGATTTCTTGCTTAAGTTGAACCTGACTTATATTTATTTTTCAAAGTTTATATATCAAGAGCAACCATCATCTTCTACCACTCTAATCTTCCCCCATTAAGTATATATTAAATTATATTACTAGCTTTTATTATCATGGTGCGTTCTGTCTATAATGTTATACAGAAATTTGACTCTGTACTGAGCTAATCAAAACGCATAATCTATTATGGTCCTGTAGAGAAAAAATCATTAGAAGGGCTCCAGCCAGTATAACCGGAAAGAACAGCATGTCTACTCTCTTCCCAATGTTTTAAAATCAATTTCAATTTTGGACCTTGAAAGGGTTTGAATGCTGTAATTTCACTGTATCAGTTAATGATCTCTAGTATTGCCTCTATTTACAATATATTTGCACAAAAATAAATACGTGCAGTTTAGTATATTCTTATTTGGAATGCACTGTTATATAGATTACTGTGTAATATAAATGTCAGAGCAATTTATCAATTCCAGTTTGCTCTATTTAATGCTATCGAATGTAAATAGTGCAATGCTATCAATGATGATCAACATAAATTCTTTCGTTTAAATTCTGTCAAATCTACTAGAGCACCAGATGGTGGCTATGTAGATCGGTTGATGTCTGTTAATTGTCTCTTCATTTAGGCAATGGTCATCTTAAGTTAAACTAACATGTGAATTAAAACACCTTCAAGATTCTGAGAACCAAATAACAACATAAATTAATAACATAACAAAACATAAAAAAATTAGCTAATCAAACAGCTCCAATACATATCTTTAAAATGATAAATCATCAACAAATCTATTTGATCAGGCATGAATCACGAAGCAATATTTGAATTGAAAAGTTCTAAAAGTAAATTCAAAACCATCCAAACTCCAATTTTAGCAAACTTATATTTGAAATTAATTTTCGATGAGATGAGTCAAATAACACCAAAAGCATTTTAATATAAGAAAGTCTAAATGAGACTACATTAAGCGCTTGAGATGCAGTTGAAAATTTTGTGACATTAATTGAAGGAACAAAAATCCTCTGAATCATATATGCTTACATTTAAAACAAGAGTCTCGATGGAATGAATCTATCAAGTCCAAGATCGCTCAATTTCAAGATCATTAGAACACTTAAATACCGAAAAAATATTATATGATCAAGAGAATCACACAAATTGTCTAATGATATGTTTGCGGATTTTCGATAAAATTACCAAAAAAATCTAAAAAATTATAAATAGACAAAAAAATCTAAAAAATTATAAATAGCCCCTCATTTTTTATACAAAAGTGATTTAAAATTGGATAGAGCTAAGAGATTGAAAGCCAGAGCTTTGTCTAATGATAGACGTAGACAATCACTACCAGCAACTGCTGTCACACTAGCATTGTTGCTCCGCCATCGTTACTGAACCACCTAACACCAAACCGTGATAGCCAGTCCATTGTCGCCATATTGTTAGTCTGATCATTATCGTCGGACCAACGTTGCACAGCCGCCATCATTCAACAATAATTGCCCAACCTTCATCACTCAAGCACCGTGGTCCGATTACCTATTTGATCATTATCTCTTGACCAAAATTGTCACCATTCATTGTATGTTTAGCATTCTCTACTACAATCATAGGAGACTGAGCTAGCATTCTAAACATTATAATCTCATCTACTCTAATTAAGAGGATCAAGCCCCATAGTTTTTTTTCCTTCCCAAGTTTTCCACATGAAAACTCTAGTACCTCCTATGAACTTTTCTTTCATTTGTGTGTGTGGAATCTTCGTAAAAAGCTAATACATAAAACTCTCACTCCATCGCCACAAATTCTCAAGCATGTAACATTTTGGCATTTTTTATGGGAAGATATCTCAGCATCCTATAAACTTCAGAAAGATGGATGATAGGAGTAACACCAACAACAATAGGGCTTTTCATTCCAACACTCATCAATCCAAAACCAATTCCTCAACTAAGGACTTGGCAAACAAGTGAAGGACCTCAAGGTATGTCCCTAGAGGATCACATGCCGAAGGAGGAAGAGTATTAAGTTCAAATACATTAATTGCTAGAAGAGTCCGGCTAGTAGAGAATAGCATCATAGCATATGATGGAGTTTTCCAACCACAAAATCAACATAATAGTATTGATTAATTTGAGGACACTCATGCGAGACCTCACTGTTGCAAACCTAGATCCAAAGATTATAATTTCGATGATAGCAAGTATTTTTGACATTTCTATTTATCTACTATTGTCTGCCTACTAACGTTTTAGATCCACAAGGTAAATTGCAAATTAAGCCAGTTCAAAATTGGGTAGATTAGGACTGAGTCAGTTTGTAAGTGTAATTTCTGTTGTTTTTTCTGTTCTTGAGTCAAATGTAATAAGGTGGATCCTTATGCTAAACAATCTTGCACACACACTCAGAGGGAGAAATTCTGTATGTTTTAAAGTTTTCTATTTTTGATCATATCGTCCGGGACGATCCAAAATCATCCTGGACGATCAGTTAAAAACAAAAACCATAATTAGGGCATCCATGTTAAGACAACCGAATTAAGCAAATCGTTCTGGACGATATTAACATCATCCTAGACGAAAGACTCAAATAAAAAAGAATCAGCCGCCAAACTCTTCTAGGTATGATATTATTTTTTGAAATCATACAGGACAATCCCATATCGTCCTTGACGATTCATTACAATCATGCCTAAATTAGTCAGGTGATTAAGGAAAACAATTAAGGATCGCGGGATCGTCCCGGACGATCAGTTAGAAAAACCTTAGTCTTCTCCTGAATCAACTGGATGACCCGAACGATATGCTGGACGGTCAGTTGAAATTCTCCATCGTCCACGTGTATCACCTGGACGACCAGAATGATGTGCTGAATGAAAATCCCTAGTTTTGAACTAATTGTACGAGACGATTAAAAGAATCGTACTGGACGATAAGTTATATTTCTTCACTGTCCAACATATATCTTCTAGATGATCAGAATGATGTGCTGGACGATATGTATGATTTTGAACTAAGCGTACAGGACGATGTCCACATCGTCCTGAACGATAAGAACAAACAAGGCTTCTAATCATCCAACCCCCCCAGATCGTCCTGGGTGAAAGGGATCAAAATACGTTGATCGTACACAGGACGATATTTTAAGCCCTTCTTTATAAGATCTCTTGTTTATTCAAGGTGAGATCTTTTGTTGTTGTCCTGACCTAAGAGAGCCAAGAGAATGAGAGGGAGAGCTTGGGAGAGAGAGAGAGAAAGAGGATCTTATGAGGGGGAGTTTGTGAGAGGTTCACAAAAGTTGCTCCAAGCAAGGATCTGAGTCGTCTTCTTCAGTCTTCGTCCTTGGTTCCTTGGTGGCTCTAGGGAGGTCTTCATCAGCACAAGGTCAATGTTCTCTGCCTACTTCAGGAGGAAGCAAAAGGAGTCTGGGTTCTCTATCTGCTTCAGGAGGAAGCAAAAGAAGTCCGGTTTCTCTGCCTCACTAGGGTCGGTGAAAAGGAGTTTGTAAAGGCTTCTCCGCCTTGTTGTGGGAGAAAAAGGAAAGTTACTATTGTTTTAGTGCAATACCTGGAGGAGAGGCTTCAGGGAGTGGACGTATGACAAGTTGATCGAACCACTATAAAATATGGTGTATTCTTTCTTATTATGTTTTTGCATTTTAATTTCAGCACTTTATTTTCATGTGGATCATTGCATGGTTTAATGTTTTAAAATATTTCAAAAAGATTGTGCTTTTTGTTTAAGGATTTTTAAAACTACCAATTCCCCCCCCCCCCCTCTTGATTAGCCTCGGGCTAGTTCATAAAGGCTTAACAACCCTAACAAACTTTCACTCACCACCATGTCGAAGTTCTTCCACTACAGCCTAATCCAAAAGTCATTGACACTGCTAGTTCAACTCATCTTTCTTATGTTGTTTAATCGGCTCCTTATCCCCTAGCAACCTTAGTGGACTTATTTCAACAAATGTCTCACCAACTACAATTGTCATATCCAAATAAAATATGCCAAGTCACCTAATTTGCAATATCTTTTATAAGCATCACCATAACCAATTAAAAAAAATACAAACACAATGTTGAAACTTAATGTAATCATATTGTACATAATGCTCTTTAGACACTCCACAAATACTTTAATATTATTCAGTACTTGATCATGCATATATTTAATAACTTCAACATATCTTTTACACACATTTCTTCCTTAATGCAAACCAAACTTCTGACTTGACCATATGCTTTCTCAAGATAAATAAATTTATTTGAAGATCATATATTTTCTATGTATACTTTTCCTTCGTCTTAAAATATATTTGTTTCCATAGTAAATCTTTCTAGCATAAAAAATCTCCAAAACTATAGTGAATTTGTTGCATAGAAAAAATAACTTATAAAATTACAAATGAAATGATTAATGCAATAACCTCATACTTCATCTAATGTCACAAAGGTTGAAGTCAAGTTGCAGGAATGAGGTAAGAAGCTATATCACTCTCTCATAGTTTGATAGCATGACTCATAAGTCTAATTCCACTATAACTAGAATAATCTTGAACATCTTTTTTGTTATTCATATTGATAACAAAATACTTCTTCGATTCATTTAGAATCTTCTTAATCTTCAAAATTTTATTTAAAATATTTACTAACCTAACCACTTCATTATCTCCCATAAATCTCCAAACCTTAATGGGCACCAAATATTAATAAAAAACTTTACCAATATCCATTCTTGTCAGGGTTAATTCTACTTCACTTCTTGGATCAAGCACTTGTTTTTTTATTCATTATTCCCTTAATAGGAAATTTCTTCTTTTAAAACCCCATTTAATGATTTCTTAAAGTAAAATTTGACATCTTTCATTTTTCTACAAATTTAATTATGATCCTATCATTTTCATTTTTAATACATTTAATTTAACTACTCTTTAGATCTCTTATCTATTTCCTTAATTATTCTATATATCTCATTCTTGCATTCCTTAATATTAAGCTAACTACATAAATAATTAAAAGCTTTATTTTTCTTTGTTGGGTAAACTCTTTACAAGACTTCAAACTTCCTTACAATAAATCATCTCGCAAAATTTCAAAATAATAAAATAGACGACAACTAACCATAACTACTAGCCCAATTTAGCATATAATTGCAAGGGTTTCTGATAATTTTTAGTAACAGTAACCCATTTGCATTAGCATTGTTTGAGAAGTAACGATATACTAACTATTATTTGTTTCATTGCTTAAATGGTTCACTAATTAATTTTGAAAGCAACTAATAAAATTGTGGAAACTAAATATAGTTACTGAATAAACATTTATGAATACCTAATAAATATTGTTTAGGTTCTCTGTAAATCTTTGAGGTCATTAGATGGTTGTATAGATGGAAAGTCATGACATGAGTTCAAAATTTATTTAGCATACATGAAATTGAAGCCAAGTGGTAAGTGCCTCTCAAGAGAATTTTTTCCAAAAGAGAAGACTCCAATGCTCAAGAAAATAAGCAAACTGCAATGCCCATCATGGTCAACGAGAACATGACATGCCTACTTTCTAACGAATCTCCCTAAGGGGAGCACGACATGCAAGCTCACTACCAAAATTCCAAAATTGGAAGGGATTATCATAGGCAAGCTTTCTCTCCATACAAGCATGAAAGAAATGTGTGGTCTCTAACATTAGGAAACTTCATCATCAAACTCTACTCCAAGCAAAAAGTGCACTTCAATGCAATCATTTACCAATAAGACCAACTCACTCAATATATTTGCGCAGGGCAAGATCTAAACTCTTTGCATCTAATAATGACTTGCCAAGCACGAAGCACCTAAAGAGATCAAGTGATCCAAAAATTGCAATCAATGATGTTTGGAGGCAAAGGTGACATAAGAGAGTGACGGTGAGTTGAATCAACAATGAATGCAAAGCCTTGACATGTAGAGTTTTCAAAGGGGTATCAACAAGATGTGATAAAGAGTTTTCAAAGAAGCTCCTAAGGGTCTTACAGGAGGAAGGAGAAGATTCAAACCACACCAAAATTTATTATTCTTTTTCATTAGTCGTTTCATTAGTACATAAAAATCTTTGCCTTAGGATCCATGCATGCCTTCATACCCATGTTGATCTTAATGGATTTTTTATAAGAGCGCATCAATTTCCCTCTCTACTCTTTAACCTTATTTTTAAGTTCAAAATGCATCCCCTTTTCACTTTTGCAGAAGAATCCTTGTAAGGAATAAGATGCCTTCTTGGACTTTGAACATGCAATGACTTGCAGTTCACATTGTCTTTTTCACTTGTCGATGTGTTAAAGCCTTTGATAAGATATTGACCACTTGCTTCAACTACAATTGCATGAGATCCTCACATAAAGCTATCCACCAAGCTAGATAAACGAATTAGACATGCAACAATAATAAATATAATTTAGAAGTTAATGCTTAGGTAAGAAACACGGATCTTGGATAGCTTCCAAGTCAGCTTATAAGCCGTCACACTCAAGATATCAGATACAGCATCTTGGAAAAATAAAACAGAACATCAGGATGGTAAACAGATAGAAATCGTCAAATGAAACCATTTGTTTATGATGATAGTAGGCTGATTTATAGATCAACATCTTGTCAACAGCAAATCAACCGTTTTCCTCTCAATTCAACAGATATAAGTTATCATCAAATCATCCATAACTCTTCTCTGATACCCTTTTAAAGTTGGTGCTATCCCTCTATATCTGTCTGCTAAAGCTTTGAGGTACACACTTCAAGAACTATATGAGAATTTGAATATAAGGGCAGTGATCCATTAATCAGCTCAATGCAAATAAAGTAAATATGGGCGATATGGGGCATCTGCCACGATCAAAATGAATTGAAAGAAAAGCTAATGACAATCAAAATATGCCATAGAAATCATTCAATAAGAACAAAAGAGGCAAGAATGTACAGGCCCTGTTGGTCCTGAGCGGCCTGGTAGAGTCCTTCGTCTCGGTGGACGCGGCACCGTGATCCAACGACCTGAAGCGACTGTTGAGGGTCGCCGCGCCTCTTGGCGAGGAAAACAGCGCGCCGCTGGGCACGCCGTCGGGCGGCGTCCATCAGATCGTGGACCTTCCTCTCTGACCTCCTCGCCTCGTGCCACATCTGTTCTGTCGCGCCTTACCCACCAGTTGCAAGAATCACTTCCCGATGTCAAAACCCTAACCTTACAATTCTCGTCGCGGTAGGCTTCGCTCTTGAAAGGGGGAAATATGGATCGAACCCTTTAACAAAAACTGCGGCCTATAAAATGAGAGCCACGCCCAATTTATTTATTTAAATCAAATAAAAAATTACAATATGTGACTTTATAATATCACTAAAGCAAATAAGAGATTTTTACATGCATACCACTTTAAATTATTGTAAATACATATTCAACATCTAAATTTTTATATTTATTAACATACAACTTAAAATCCTATTTTTCATCTATTCTAACACTCCATTACTCCTCAGTGACTGCCGCTTCTTCCCTCGTCAGCGATTGCCATGACAACGATGGCTCCAACGGTGGAATTGCTCAACCAAATTCTCGACCTGTCGCTTCTTCCCTCGTTAGTGATTGCCATGACGGTGATGGCTCCAGCGGTGCGGTAGTTCTTGGTGTCGTTGGAGCCATTGGCTTCAAAGATAGTAGCTTTGCGACAATTCTTGATGTCGCCTAAAACAACTTTAAGGGCAGTCTGCCGAAGCTTTCAAAGATCAAAGCCAATGGCTCCAGTGGTGGTTCATTTAATGTATCGCATAATCTCATGTATGATTCTATTTCTTCTGGTTTTACAATCCTGTTTCTACTTTTATTTATGTGGATCTATAAGATAATTACTAGCAATATTATGTACCTCACAATAGTGCTAATAGAAATTTATCACTTAAATCTAAGTTCACCTATAAGGAGAGAGGGATAACCTATGATGGGTATGGGAATCCAATTTCACCTCCCCCTAACTCAAGCTCCAGCTCATCCAAAAGCAAGAACACTTGGAAGTTGGAATTATATTATGGAAGTAGTTGTTAGAGGAACGACCCTCCTATTGTTTGTAGTAATTTATCTGTTGTTGTGTTTGTTGGCGTAGAAACGAGCATAATTTCCACATCTAATCAGAGGGAGATGATTTTTGCAATGAGGATGTGGTGGGAGATGGCAAGTTTAGGAGATGGCTACAAAGGGAGGAGCTGGAAGTTGCTGGCGGTGGTGGTGAATTCCCAATCGTCTTCGCGATGGTGAGGTACAAGGCCTTCTGTGCACATCGTATTTGATAGGAAAATAATTATGAAACTTCAACTGCTCGATGATTTCCTTCACGCGAACAAAAGGAAGATGACGCGAGACAAGATTTTTGATGGTGCTTAAAAGGAGTAGCAGAATTGAGGAAAAGGAGAATTTTAGATGGTATATTTCAATAGTTTCAATTGTTGAATATGTATTTCAATAGTTTCAAGTGTTATGTATGTAAAAATCTCAAGAAATAAATGGAGTAAAATAGTAAAATTTAATCAAAATTCTTCTAGCATTAAAGTGAGCTCATAGTAATAAAATAGGAATATCATAGAACTACCTATATGTTAATGAAGACAAACTCGTTACATATCAAAACAATAGATATCAAAAGGATATAGACATCAGACCAAAATATCAAAGTTGTGAAAATCGGACCGCACAACAAATTAGATGAAGGAAAGGTTCACGATTCCACCGGTTGTATCGGTTGAACTGAGGTTGAACCAGATGACATAATGAATTATAATATTATTAAAAATTAATACATTTTACACAATAATATGACAATATAAGTAATAATATCGATTTTTAGCAAATATTAGAATTAATATATGTACATTTGATTGATTTCAATATAACAGAAATGCAATTTCATCATATACAAAAGTAACAAAACACAATTTCAATAAATATGAATATCAATTTTAGCAATTAAACTTAAACACGCAATTTAAAATCACAAAAACGAAACGATATACCTTGCAGCTTCAAGTTTCAGCACGAGGTGGTCTGGCCATCCCACAGCTCTCGGTTTTTGCAAAGGTTGGTCAAATCAACTAATTTGTTATTACCACATTGCATTGTGTGAGTAATGCATACCTTAGATTTTTGCACAACCCTTCATGATAGGAAATAATAAATACACCTTTTGCACCAAAGCTTCTTATCTCTTCCTCCAATAGGTGATATTCTAAAATTACATGAAGAATTGGAAAATAACAAATAAATCATGGCAAACTAAAAAAGTAAATAACATGAAAAAAATAATATAATTTTTAGTAAAATAAGGAGAATGCATTGATGGTCTTAAAATGAAAACAATAAAAACTATAAAAATGCATATACACTATAAAACTCTTGAAGATAATGAAAAGTGGAAACACATATTCATGAAATAAAGGCAAAACAAATAGTAGTTCTCAATTAACTATTCTTAACAATTCACAATGCAATGTTTAAACATAAGAAAAATAAAAAAACATCTAAGTAAATATAAAAGTTGTCTCCTTGTAATATCAAATATTGAGCCCCGAAATCCTCCATCATCAAAATCATCCCGACCAAATGCTTCGACTTCAACACTTTCAAAGTATGTCATCATCTCCCACATTTTCTAAGATATCATCATCTGTAAAATAAAATTATAAAAAATTATGTCGTTGTAAAACTTTTATTCAGAAAATATAAGTAATTCGAATGGATAACTTACTTTGAGCTTCTCTAGTATAAGTCATATTCAATTTTTTAGTAGTTGGAGTAATCCCCTATATGTAAATTGTGGTCTCTAAATCCTCCAACATAAGCTATGGAACAAGTTCATCATCAAGAACCCAAAAATCAACCATCTCAATACTTGAGTAGTCTAATGGATCATAGTTTATTTTTTTATTTTGAAACCTATAAGTTAATGTGAGTCATCTTAATATATTGTGCATCCTTCAACTAAAAAAATATTTTAAATATAAATGAAAATCATACATATTCCTCAAATAGAGGTTGTAGTGAATAAATACAAGATCTTTGAGCTTTTGATGTTCAAGATGATTTCATCTCTTCGTACAAATTTGCTCAAACACATTCCAATTTCTTTCACATCCTCAAGATGAATAAGTTTGGGTAAGAATCCAAACAACCAACTTCTCTAGCAATCACTTTATGATGTGCATATAAAGATTATGACTTTGGAAGTGACAAGGAGCCCCTTTCTTCATCAATAGGGTCATCACCAAATAAAGGTGTATTATGCTCCAACTCCTCTTATGTTAGTTTCTTTTTTAGATATTTCTTTCAAATTTTCTTGCATCTAATGTTGGACATCATATGGAACTTTTTTGCATGAAGCAATGTTTCCTTTGATTCGTGCAATGTGATGCTTTATCCTATTAATGCCTCAACCTTTGTAAGTTGTTACACAATAAAGACACTTAAATTATTTCTTTCCATCTAGTCCTTTTGACTCTTTACAATGGTTCCAAGCAAGATCTTTTTTCTTTTTACGTACACCATGAATTGAAGCTATTGGTGGATCCATTCTAAAGTAAAGCAATGAAATGAATGACAACTGGCTTTATAATAAACATCAATAATGATATACTCTATTCTAACCGCTCATATAAACTCTAGTTATGAATGATTTCATTTTTAATATCTAAATAAAAAATCATGCATAACCAAGCATCATCAACTTATTATAGGCTTAATCATCAAATTTCACTTATTAAAAGCTTCATCATCAAATTTCACTTATTAAAAGTCAAATTGTATTTCAATAATCATGAACTCTTATTACAAGTTAATTAATATCATTAGCATTATAATAATATTTCCTTTTTTCACAATGTGCAATATAAGTTCTATTATTCTAAAAGTCTAAAACTTAAATTTAATCAGATGAAGAATCATATACCAAAATAATAAATTTTAGCATGCATAAACCAAATCTTAAAAGTCTAATATAGATAGTTGGAGACCATTCAATCCATACTAAAATTTTAGTAAAATCAATAATAACAAATCAATCTGTTGCAATCTAGGATCCATAGCTTGTGATTTTGATGATAACAAATATTATTGATTGAGGTTTTATTTCTCCAAGCATATATATTGGATATTATTTTGTCTTTGTGCACAAATATTTTAGGTACATCATACACCGCTCAAAATTATTGATGACTCAATTTGGGTAAAATAAGTTGTCAATAAAAAAGAGTGTAATTTTAACTTTCTTATATTTTCTATTTTTTTAGTCTGGCCATATAAGGGTGTATGCAAAATTGGCAACTGTACACACATATACAGAGGGATTGTGAAAAGTTTGAAATGAAAATTTTTTGAACTAATTATGTTGTACTATTACAATCATACTGTACGATCTATTATTTGAAAAAAAAGATTTAATCACTAATTGAATCATTAATTATAATGAACTATTTGTACTATACACTAGCAATCATACTATACTATTTATTTCGATCTAGGAAACCCTAGTTGTAAGATAAATTAAGTAAGAATTAAAAAAAAATTAGCTAATCGTACTGTACGATCCTACTCGTATTGTATGATATTTGAAATATTGCTTCAATTATCCCTCGTGATTAGTTAATTAAAGCAAGGCTTATTAAATGTGGCTAATTGTACCATACAATCTTGATCGTATCATACGGTTGAAAGAGATATGAAATATTGATATTACACCGACTATACTATATGATGTGAATCATACCGAACAATCGACAAAGACAATTTCCAATCATCCCTTTAATCATCCTGTATGAATATAGAAAAATTAAACTAATTATACTATGCAAACTTACGATCGTACTGTATGAAGTGTTTGTTGAATTAAACAGTTTTTCAGAATGACCATTTTCATTGTATTGGATGAGTCTTTCTTTTGAACTAATCACACTATATGAACCTATATTGTATTGTACGAACATAGACATCCAAATTAAAATTTTAGAGTTTTTTAAGCCTTGTACTTAACTATCCTTTTAAAGACTTTTTTATAAGGACTTTGGTTATGAAGGAACTCTGAGGGAGATTGTTCTTTAGAGACTTTGGGCTTAGAGAGGAAGAAGAATGTGAGGTTGTGTGTGAGGGAGAATGTGTATGAGGGGTTTCACACGGTTGCTCCAAGCAAGCTTGCACCTAACTTCCTCCTATAGCCTTGGTGAGTTCTTAAAAATTATTTGGGAGAGAAGCTTCAAAGTCAAGAGTCTATAA